GTTATAGTAACTATAAAGATTTGTATATACACCATGTACATGTACCACCAGTATAGAGTCAGTCCAGCTAGCATGTTATGCAGTGATACTAGACCAAATGCTATTGACCTCTAAATCTTAGAACTTTGAGGTTGAAACCCATTTATATCAAAGGGACTACACCAACGTTACATAAATGGGACTGAAAATATTTTTTGAAAGATTTTTACACTATTTAATGTAGTTCTACATGTAATTTTTTCAAATCATTTGCTCACTCCTTCTTTCCAGAATAGTATTTTTTTATTGTTCCAAATGACCTAAAAAGTAAAAACCAATTACACACTTTTAATGTCTTTAACTGAAATAACCTTAAAAATGATTCAATCACACTAAGCACTGATTTTCAATCAAATTTGAATTATGAGTACTGCATACTTTTTTTCATATCTTTCTGCATTAAGAGCCTATTAAAGTTGATCTATGTACAGTGTTTTCAGGCATTTTGACTTAAGGGGAGTTTCTTTAATTTACAATAGACTGTTCCTTATTCAAAGCAGAAAAAATGACAGTACAAATAAGGCAAGATAAGGATTAAATCAATATAATTATAACTTGTGTCAGTTAAAATACATGTACATGTGTATAACCAAACTTCATAATAGTTCTATGAGATGCTTGGACAATAAAATTATTCTGAATGAAAGTTATTGACAATTAAAGATGAGATGTAAATTGTATGAGTAATGAATATGCATCAGTGAATAACATAGCCTTTATGCCCAATTTCTCAGAAATGTCTATAGTAGACAAGCACCATTTGCAAATTTAGTCACCACATATTGAAAAATTATACATGAACCTCAGCAGCTGGTGACAACACTGTCAAATTTTTGAGTAAGAAAAGTTCATAACATAGATGTACCATATAATCTTTAATCTTAGGACAACAATAAAAATATTACAACTTCTAGTGTACAATGTCCAGACAACTGAAATATTTCAATTAAAGACTGAAACTTTGATTGGCTGAGTACAATGATAAAGTTTACATGTACACTTACTTTATGATAATAGGCTGCTACAATTTCTTCCCCAAGTTGTTGATAAAATCTCTTTGACCTATCTTTTTCCATTCCAGCCTCAATCAACCACTTCATACTAAAAAACTTCTTTCTTTTATCTGATGCTGCGATTGGTACCTGAAATATTCAAGTTCATATGTTCAATATATATGATGAACATAGATAGAGCCGAGTTTATTCACAAAATACTGCCAAACCATTGCTTAATATTGTTGGTACCTCTCAATATTATATCTCAAGAAAGACCCAACATGGAAAAATTCTACATGGGGAAGATACCTGGAGAGCAAAGAAATCAAAAACAATTGATTGAAAATGAAAGAATCAAAGTTATATTTAGTCTGCTTCATAACATATACTATAAAGTCCAACAGAATTTTTTTACATAACATGTTTTCTTTTTAGATATCCCAGATTGACCTGTTATGTTACATTAGCAACCACATTTCTACTACAAAAAAAATGAAGTGCATGGTCTTCATATGGCCATTTATCAACAACTTAAGTTTCATCAACCCATCAAATACTGTTTTTATATTATCACCTCTAGTTATGTGTATTAAGTTTCAAGTGAATATCTTCAGTAGTATTGAAGATTTGATGTTGCATGCAAAACATGAAACAAGAATTTTAAGTTTGCAAAGGGTCACAAAGTCCATATCAGAGATACAGGCCTTGGATACTGACCTCTAATTATCATCCAAAGACAAGCATTCAAGTTAATACATGTACATTTGTATCTTGATCTTCAATAGTTTTTAGATTGATAATGCAAGAAAAACTTTAACAAGAAATTGTTAAAGTTTGCAAGTTTGACCCTTGTATGGTGACCTATTATGTTTCAAATAAGTGTGTAAAATGATAAGCAAATATCATAAGTAGTTGATAATATATGATGTTGTATGTAAAATTTTTAACAGTGTTGCCTCGCTGCCCGGGTGAGTAGTTTTGTCCAACTGTTCTCAATTAGTTGAACTTCAAATCTTTCTAACAAATAAATAAGGAATGATGCAATGATTCCAAAATTAGTATGATCTACTGATCATAGGAATATATAACAACAAATATTTTACATCTTTGTGTTATAATTGATACAATGTTGGCAAAGTCAACCAAAGCTTCACAATAGAACCATTTATGGGAGATTGTGGATTTTACAAAATGTAGATTCAAATTCATCAAGGGATATGAAATTCTTTGATGTGAGAAAGTTATCCACCTTTACTCAGGTACTCACTTCTGCCTAAAATAATACAAGGAAGGGCAAAAAAGTCTATAATATTTAAATATATTATACATTTGTACTCTGTAACAATGTCTGCATGTTATAAAGCTTAAAAGTTAAAACCCAATGAAACAGTAATATATGGGAAACATTTCATACCATATAAGTTTGACCACTTTTGACAACTTTTGTTATTATAAGTAAAGGTTCGCCATTTTCAAGGGCTTGGTGAAATACTACGACTGGATCTAGTTCAATAGTTGCTTTCATCTCTTCACTACTAGCTTTATGATAACTTTCTAACTGAGCTCTTTTCACAACCTCAAATGCCTGAAAACATACATTTTATCACATTGAAGAATATGTACATGCTAAACTATATTTCTATATCTATGTTTAATTTGGTAATGGTCACATAATTAATTTTAAATCAAGGGCACATTTAATTTGTATTAAAAAAAGTATGTTTCTACTGTGGTATAACAATTTAAAGAGGACATAAATAGTTACTAAGCTTCTATGAAAGCCATGGAGATATATGTTAAAAGACAATTAAGTCTCTATTTACAAATGAAGAAACAAGACTTTGCACTGACAAGGAAATTGCCATATTATATACATATGAGTAAAGCATAGGCTAAATACTTTTTACAGCTGAAAAGTTTTGTTCTATGAGGCAATCAAACTAAAGTACCAAATATTAAACTATGTTTAAAATGCAGGAAGAGGTAAATGTCAACATGATTCATGAATAATATACTTCACCTTATAACCAACCACTAACATTCATTTATTAGTATTTTAATGTGTTCTTATCAAACAGACATTACAGATACATTATTATTTATAAACATTTCAACAGGTATCATGGCCAGGTATAAATGGTTATAGGTAAACATCATCTGAGCAACTAGGTTATATAACCTGTCAAAAGTCTTAATTAATAAAGAATTTAAATCTCATATAAATGAACTGCAAAACTGCTATTCTTGAAATGACTAACCACAAATTTGCAGTAGCTGTGTATAGATAAGATAGATAACTGTCACAACTTTTAAATGATAATCATTGTTATAAACATAGAGTATTACAACTTGATATAAATTAAGGATCTTAAAAACTTTTACCTCTTCAAGATGAGACCTTGCTAATGCTTTATTTCCTCCTTTCACCATCATGTTTATGAACTTCCTATAGAAATAGACAACAATGCAATGTAAATTTACTTAATTTTAATCAGATTTTAATTAAAGTTTTAACTTAGTGAGACATCATTAAAACCATATAATAATTTGTTTAAAAAAAAAACTAAATGGAATATATTGTTTTTTTGTTTTTTTTTAATTCAGGGATACAGGAAAGTGCAACTAGTTGTACTCTTGTTAAAATGTACATTACATAGTTATCATCAAGGAAAAAGAATATTTAAATCATTAGCTCTGAAAGCCTGTTTGAAACAACTAATTAACTATTTGTGCTTACCAGTCGTAAAAGTCACAGAAGATGATTACTATGTAATGTAATTATTTACAATATTAACAAAAAAAACGATAAAAATAAAAAATGAAAACCAGAAATTTTTCCCCTAATTAATTAACATTTGTGCAAGGTTTTGCGATTTTCACTGGGAATATTTGTCTTAAAATGAAGCTGAAATAAATGAACAGATACATTGTTTAAAGACTTAAATGGCATGTTTTAACTAATTTTTAACAAAACATACTGAACAACAGGGTCAAAGTCTGTAAAAGAGTTGTCATCTGTGACTGCAGCTTTTATCTTTTTATAGTGCCGGATATCACCTGGTGGAATCGGTTGCTTTAGTTCTTCTAATGTTTTTATGTTCTCTATATATCTGCTGTCATACTTGGAATTTCTTACTAATCTGAAAAACATTAAGAAATATTTTGTAAGGAGGTATCTTTTATTATTAGAGGTTTGAAATGTCATCTGAATTTATCATTTATTACTGAGGCATACTTTTTTCCTGTACACAATTCTTAAGGTTTGTGTGAAGAGTTTTGCAGTGAAATTAAAAAAAAATCATTTTGGTTACTAAGTTATCTTTTTTCCACTCATTTTCCACCAAAAAATACATGATTATAAACCATAAGAGATTGCAGGAATGGGGATCCAATAGTTTCAAAAGACTTAGAACAAAAATATAATAGTTAACCTATATTTGTTAAATGGAATTCCTCTGCTTTGAATTTCAAACAATCTATCCAAAGCTTCAAAGATTTCAATGTCAAAATACAACAAGATTGCATTTGAGAAAAATGCTATGCCACCGCATGGTTCAAATTTCATAGCTGTACATCAAAGGACAAGAAAGTAGGTCACATCATCAAAATCTAGGTCAAAGTTCAATTTTACAACTAAAACTGTGCACATGGTCAAAATGTCATTGCTGTACATCAAAGGACAAGAAAGTAGGTCACTGTCCCCTTGGGCAAGGCATAATTTTGACCCAAGGGTTTAATAACAATCTTGATACAGGTCCACCAAACAACATTTCAAGTCAAATATCTAAGCTATAGCTTTCTCCCATTCAGAAAACATTTGTTTTATTACATGTACATAATGAGAATCACTGCCCCCGGGCAGGGCCAATTTTTGACATTTGAACAACTTTGGTAGAGGACCTATAGATGGTATTATATATCAAACATCAAAGCTCTATGCCTTGAACCTTCAGACAAAATTTTTTTTTTTCACTATATGTACATAATGAAAATCAATGACCCCCGGGGCGGAATCAATTTTGACCCCAGGGCTATAATTTGAACAATCTTGCTAGAGGTTCACTACACAATGTTTCATGCAAAATATCTTAACTTTATCCTTTGTAAATTTAGAGAAGATTATTTCTTTAAGTTTTAACTATATACATATAGGATAAAACTATGGCTCCCAGGGGCGGGGCTAATTTTGACACAAGAGGCAAAATTTGAACAACTTTGGTAGAGTACCTTTAGATGATATTATTTAACAAATATTAAAACTCAAAGCCTTGTACCTTCAGACAATAAGATTTTTTTATTTTTACTATAATTATGTATATATTGAAATCAATGACCCCCAGGGCGGGGACAATTTTGACCCCAGGGCTATAATTTGAACAATCTTGCTAGAGTTTTACAACACAATGTTTCATGCAAAATATCTAACCTTTCGCATTTGTCAATTGCTAGAAGAATTTTATAAAGTTTTTACTATATACATATGAGGAAAACCAATGACCCCTGGGACAGGCCGATTTTGACCCCAGGGCTATAATTTGAACAATCTGGATAGAGGTCTACCAGACAATGCCTTATGCAAAATATCTAAGCTCTAAGCCTTTTGGGTCTTTACAAGAAGGTGTTTTAAGTTTTTACTATATGTACATATAGCGAAAATCAATGACCCCGGGGCGGGGCCGATTTTGACCCAAGGGCTATAATTTGAACAATCTTGGTAAGAGTCTACCAGATGATGCCTTATGCAAAATATCTAAGCTCTAGGCCTTTTGGGTTTTACAAGAAGGTATTTTAAGTTTTTACTATATGTACATAGTGAAAATCAATGACCCCTGGGGCGGGCCAATTTTGACCCCAGGGCTATAATTTGAACAATCTTGTTAGAGGTCTACCAGACAATGCCTTATGCAAAATATCTAAGCTCTAGGCCTTTTGGGTCTTTACAAGAAGATTTTTTTAATTTATTCTTATAATTCCTTTTGGTTGCCATGGCAACCAGATTTCTGCATGGAATGAAATTCTTTGAACAACTTTGGAAGCCCTTCACCAAAGGAACAATCCTGCCAAGTTTGGTTGAAATTGGACTAGTGATTTTTCACAAGAAGATTTTTTAAGTTCACTATATAATCTATATAACACACACACAAACACACACATACACACAGGTGAATCGCTATATGCCACCGCATCGCAGATGCTGCGGTGGTATGCCACCGCATCGCAGATGCTGCAGTGGCATAAAAATTGAGCTACTAACAGTTTAAGGCCTGTGCTTTTGTTATATTAAGGGGAGTGGTGGCAGGGCCCATGGAGAGGGGAAAATTGTCAACAGAAGGGAAAAAGGAGGGAATATAGAAACAGATAAAACTGTCTATTTGATGTTGAATTGTGATAAATACTATATTTCGGAGAAGAACTATGCCTTGACAGTGCCACATATGACAAAAGAAAAAATGTTAAAAAAGCGACTTATAAAGTTTTTGAAGCCAGAACCATCAATGTGGAAGCTTCATGGTGAGGAACACTCACCATTAAATCACCGCGATATATCTCCGAAAAGTCACCGCGCTTTATATCACAGAAATGAAATGAACCTTTCTATTTTTTAACAAATTAAAACATTTTTTAGTAATAGTCTAAAGACTCATATGTTAAAAATAATGCACAAAATCACCACACTTCCAAAATAATTGCAAGTATGCAAACATTTGAAGAACTTGTAAAATTATTACGATACAAGTATTTCCTTACAAATGTATAAAAAAAATCGAAACTAATGATCTAAAATCAGAATTTGTTACAAAATTAAATTTCACACCACCCTTCTTAATACACTGATGCTGGAGACAAGTGATTGACAGGTGTAAGAGATCGTTTGGTGTCAATCATCATTTAAGGGCGGTCTTATCAAGACTTCAAAAGACTTTGCCGATGTGCATACATGACAAACTGCTAGGTAAATGTAGGCTGAGTCATTTATGCAGACAGTTGTTGACACATTTGCCCAGCAAGCAGCAGGAGGTAAACAATCTTTTAATTGACGAGAAAGGTCACACATATTTATTTATCAGTGGATTAGTGTCAACAATTTTTGTGTATTACTAAAATGTCTGGGAAAATCTATCTGATATGAACGTCTTAGGATAATTAACATGCAAATATAATTGCATAACATTAGAATTGTTCTTGCTGCAAGTTCCAAATTTTTATTTTTCCGGGACGCCTCTGGGATGGTCAGACAAAAGCCCTCCCGTGAAAATAATAGGGCGGACAAAAGCCCTCCAACAGCAAATACATATATGTACATTGAATAGTTTATATTTTCTTTTCAATGCACTCAACATATTAAAATTGTAATCATGAATATTTTTGTTTTCCATTGGCATTAACCGTGTTTGTATGAGCTTGAGCACATTCCTGAGAGGCATCTGAATAATTAGTGCTAAAGTCTGTAAGTGCATATTTATTCACGTAGATATGAAGGTTTACTCCTATGTGAAGTTAAGATTTATATAGTAACAAGATATGTTTGTAAAACATGTATGCCCCCTATCGGCAGCCAATTAGTCATGTGATCAGGTTATTATGCATGACTTCTGACCCAGTGAACAAACAATTAATAAGGGTTATCTAGTATCTACTGGTCATGACTAGTCACAAGGTAATAATTATTGTGACCCCATAGGTTGTGTGCAGCAATTTAAGTTATTACAAATCTTACCAAATAATATATGCATAAATTTTATGAATCATGTAGGCCTCATTAATGACAGCCAAGTTGTTATATTACATAAGACCTTCAAATGTGTATACCAAAAGCATTTTTAGTTTAATATAAAAATATCAACCAAGGCAACTTGAGTTGTTGAGTTATTGGTCAGAAACCGTCATTAAGTACAAGGTCAATATGACATTGACCCCTTGACCCCAAAATCAATAGGGGTCATCTACTGGTAATGACCAAACATCATACAAAGTTTGAAGTTCCTAGGCCTAAGCGTTCTTTAGTTATTGATCAGAAACCGTTTTTACCTACAAGGTCAATGTGACCTTGACCTTTGACCCTTAACCCCAAAACCAATAGGGGTCATCTACTGATCATGACCAATCACCATACCAAGTTTGAAGTTCCTAGGCCTAAGGGTTCTTTAGTTATTGATTGGAAACCGTTTTTACCTAAAAGGTCAATGTGACCTTGACCTTTGACCCCTTGACCCCAAAATCAATAGGGGTCATCTACTGATCATGACCAATCACCATACCAAGTTTGAAGTTCCTAGGCCTAAGGGTTCTTTAGTTATCACTCGGAAACCATTTGGTCTATGGACCGACGGACGGGACGGACCGACAAGTGCAAAGCAATATACCCCCTCTTCTTCGAAGTGGGGGCATAATAAATGATGAAAAGAAGTTCAAATTATCTAACTTAAAAGTTAAAGACATTTATAATGTGCCTTGTAATGAGTCAATTACTTTTAAAAGTGACTTTGATTTTAACCACAATCGTGTAAAAAGTTACCTCTTTAAACATTTGAGGAAGGTATGTTTAGAATAAAAGGTGGTTCTAGCTCATACACATACTTAGGCCAATTGAAAACAAGATATGTTTGTAAAACATGTATGCCCCCTATCAGCAGCCAATTATTCATGTGATAAGGTAATTATGCATGACTTCTGACCCAGTGATCAAACAATTAATAAGGGTTATCAAGTATCTACTGGTCATGACCTTGACCTTTGACCCCTTGACCCAAAACTCAATAGGGGTCATCTGCTGGTCAAGACAAATCATCATACAAAGTTTGAAGTTCCTAGGCCTTAGCGTTTTTACTTAATTGATCAGAAACCGTTTTTACTTACAAGGTCAATGTGACCTTGACCTTTGACCCCTTGACCCCAAAATCAATAGGGGTCATTTGCTGGTCATGACTAATCACCATGCCAAGTTTGAAGTTCCTAGGCCTAAGGGTTCTTTTATTATTGATCCAAAACCGTTTTAACATACAATGTCAATGTGACCTTGACCTTTGACCCCAAAATCAATAGGGGTCATCTGCTGATCATGACCAATCACTATGCCAAGTTTGAAATTCCTAGGCCGAAGTGTTCTTTAGTTATTGATCAGAAACCTTTTTTACTTACAAGGTCAATGTGACCTTGACCTTTGACCCCTTGATCCCAAAATCGAAAGGGGTAATCTGCTGGTCATGAAAAATCACCATACCAAGTTTGAAGTTCCTAGGCCAAAGCGTTCTTAAGTTATTGATCAGAAACCGTTTTTACTTACAAGGTCGATGTGACCTTGACCTTTGACCCCTTGACCCAAAACTCAATAGGGGTCATCTGCTGGTCACCACCAATCATCATACAAAGTTTGAAGTTCCTAGGCCTAAGCGTTTTTAGTTAATTGATCGGAAACCGTTTTTACCTACAAGGTCAATGTTACATGACCTTTGACCCCTTGACCCTAAAAACAATAGGTCATCTGCTGGTCATGACCAATCACCATACCAAGTTTGAAGTTCCTAGGCCTAAGGGTTCTTAAGTTATTGAGCGGAAAGCATTTTTACCTACAAGGTCAATGTGACCTTTCCCTTTGACCCCTTAACCCCAAAATCAGTAGGGGTCATCTGCTGGTCATGACCAATCACCATACCAAGTTTGAAGTTCCTAGGCCTAAGGGTTCTTAAGTTATTGATCGGAAACTGCTTTTACCTAAGAGGTCAATGTGACCTTGACCTTTGACCCCTTAACCCCAAAATCAATAGGGGTCATCTACTGATCATGACCAATCACCATACCAAGTTTGAAGTTCCTAGGCCTAAGGGTTCTTTAGTTATTGATCCGAAACTGTTTTTACCTAAGAGGTCAATGTGACCTTGACCTTTGACCCCTTGACCCCAAAATCAATAAGGGACCTCTACTGATCATGACCAATCACCATATTAAGTTTGTAGTCCCTAGGCCTAAGGGTTCTTTCGTTATTGATCGGAAACCGTTTTTACCTACAAGGTCAATGTGACCTTGACCTTTGACCCCTTAACCCCAAAATCAATAGGGGTCATCTACTGATCATGACCAATCACCATATCAAGTTTGAAGTCCCTAGGCCTAAGGGTTCTTTCGTTATTGATCGGAAACCGTTTTTACCTACAAGGTCAATGTGACCTTGACCTTTGACCACTTAACCCCAAAATCAATAGGGGTCATCTGCTGGTCATAACCAATCACCATACCAAGTTTGAAGTTCCTAGGCCTAAGGGTTCTTTTGTTATTGATCGGAAACCGTTTTTACCCAAGAGGTCAATGTGACCTTGACCTTTGACCCCTTGACCCATAAATCAATAGGGATCATCTACTGATCATGACCAATCACCATACCAAGTTTGAAGTTCCTAGGCCTTAAGGTTCTTTACTTATTGATCGGAAACCGTTTTTGCTTACAAGGTCAATGTGACCTTGACCTTTGACCCCTTGACCCCAAAATCAATAGGGGTCATCTACTGATCATGATAAATCACCATACCAAGTTTGAAGTTCCTAGGCCTTAAGGTTCTTTAGTTATTGATCGGAAACCGTTTTTGCTTACAAGGTCAATGTGACCTTGACCTTTGACCCCTTGACCCCAAAATCAATAGGGGTCATCTACTTGTCATGACCAATCACCATACCAAGTTTGAAGTTCCTAGGCCTAAGGGTTCTTTAGTTATCACTCGGAAACCATTTGGTCTACGGACCGACGGACCGACGGACCGACAGACCGACGGACCGACAAGTGCAAAGCAATATACCCCCTTTTCTTTGAAATGGGGGCATAATAACAATAAATATATGTAACAATTTTAATATGTTGAGTGCATTGAAAAAAACACAGGTATTCAACATACATATTTATTTTTGTTACGGGAGGGCTTTTGTCCGCCTTGTTAATTTCACGGGAGGGCTTTTGTCTGCCCAGTCATTTTCATGGGAGGGCTTTTGTCTGCCCTGTCATATTCACGGGAGGGCTTTTGTCCGCCTAGTCATTTTTTGACAGGAGGGCTTTTGTCCGTTTCCCGTAGGCTGGCTAGAACCCTGCACACATTTTTTCATTATTCTAATAAAGTAAATGAATTTCAATATAATATGACATTTTATTTTTCGGTTAACATCTAATATATAAAAAAATTCTTTTACATGAAACTTAATTTTAAACCATTTTATTCAGCCTGCTTTTTATTATCTAAAAGTGATGAGATGACTCGTTCCGGAAGTTGGGGCCAAATTCACCGATAGGTGACGAGTTGACCTGACATAAAGCTGCATTAATATGTATATAAGGTGGCGCGATAGCTCAGTTGGTTAGACCACTGATTATCACTCCTGAGGTCCCGGGTTCGATCCTGGGTTATAACCTTGGGATTTTTCAGAGACACTTTCAGTGTTTCCCACCTAACTAGAGGTGTACTGGTTAGAAATCCAGGTAATCCCCGCATGTATCAGTGCTATACACTGGGCATGTAAAAGAACCAAGGGGTCTATTCAATAAGAGCTAGGGGCTGGTTCCCGGATTCCCTTGTATCTCATAACTGTCTCTTAAAAATGTATACAATGTATACCTGCTTAGAGTGATCGTAAACGATTTTAAAGCAGTATGGTGTAGAACTAGAACTAGAACTAGAATATGCTGGATAGGGCATAATATCCGAAAACCTTCATCCGAATTATCTACCATTACAATATTATGTTAATTTTTTAATAACGTCATCTGACTTTCATTTTGCATATTTCTTTGATTTATCATGTTATATTTTACAAAAACAACTTTAGTTGTCACGCTTACATAGCACAAATCGGTCGTTTTTCGCGTAAAATCAACTTTGTGACATTGCGACAGAGGGCTGCCATTTTTGCGGTGTGAGTGTGGATAGACAATTGTGAAAATCACTTTTGTTTACATCTGAGATTCTTGAATTATTTTAGCCTAGCCTATATTTCAGCGTAATTGGTAATTTCTTATCAGTATTATGCTTGTTATTTAAACTTGTTAAGCAGAATGTTGTATTTAGGAAATTGATTGAATGGTGATTTTATTATTTGACAATTTTGTAACTTGTAACCAGGGTCTTCTTTGAAATAGAAATTCTAGAGTGGGTGTAGTCCAACTAATTTAGACTTGTCAAAGAGACACCGAGATAATTTTGGACGAAAAAGTCTGTAAAATGGGTCAAACCGTTCACGCCGAATTAATTAGGCTAGAGTGGGTGGACCAACGCTCGGTGTAAAAATACTATATTTGATATGGTATATTCAAATCAACGACAACAAACCTCAATGTTTTATGCCCATTTTCAAGACCGATGATATTGTTTTAAATAGCCATTGTGTAAAATTTGCTAATCACATAATGATGTACATGGCTGGAGCTATAGATATTCCGGATAAACAAGAGTGATTTGTGTGAAATTGTACCATAGCTCGGCGTACAATACTACATGATGCAGGATTGTTTTTCGAATAAAATCTCTTTTTTTATCTTTTGAAGAAAACATATTGAATAAATTGTAACCGGTATGCCTAAAATACGAAAGTGAGATTTTTGACGAAAGTGAGCGAAAGTGACTTTTAAAATTTGAATTGTACCGTTTTAATAGAATTTTACAGTGAATTTTCTGTTTGTAGACGTATATTATTAGCAACTTATAAAATTTCTTTTCAAAAATAATCACTATGATGATTTAATCGCCATTTATTTGCATAATTTCTATACACAAGTTCTGAGATCTTCCTTTCGCTCACATAGAAAAATACGAAAGTGACTTGTAAAATATTAAATATAGAGTTTTTATTGAAATTTATACTAAAATTGCAGTTTGTAAACGTATACTATCAGAAATATATAAAAAAAAATTCAAAAAATAATCATTATGATGATTTTTACCCCATTTTTTACATAATTTCTACATACATGTACAAGTTCAGCAATCTTCCTTTCGCTCACATAGAAAATACGAAAGTGACTTCTGAAATATCAAATATAGTGTTTTTAAAATTTAAATATAGTGTTGAATATGAAATTATTGATTTCTGATAATATAGGTTTACAAACTGCAATTTAAGTACAATTTCAATTCAAACTCAAATTCAAACACTTTTGTATTTTCAATGTAAGCGAAAGGAAGATCACTGATATATTGCATATAGAAATTATACAAAAAAGGGGTATAAAACTATAAATCATCATAATGATTAATTTAGAAAATAAATAATATTAATTTCTTTATAATACACGTCTACAAACTGCAAATTTAGTACATTTTCAATTTAAACTCTATATTTAATACTTTACAAGTCACTTTCGTATTTTTCTATGTGAGCGAAAGGAAGATCGCTGAACTTGTATATAGAAATTAGGCCAATAAATGGCGATTTTATCATGATTATGGTTATTTATTATAATATATATAATTAGTTGCTAATAATATACGTCTACAAACAGAAATTTTACTGTAAAATTCTATCAAAACGGTACAATTCAAATTTTAAAAGTCACTTTCGCTTACTTTCGCTCACTTTCGTCAAAAATCTCACTTTCGTATTTTAGGCAAACCCAATTGTAACAACCAAATTAGGTTCAAACATTTACAAGTACCCAACTTTTAGTTTAAATTTTACAGCCCCAGAACTCTAGTGTTAAAAGATTTTAATAATTTATATGTTGCAGATTACATACGGTTGTTCGTCTGCTATTAGCATTGTCACGTGACTTTACCAGCAGTGAACCACACCAGGATAAAATGGTGAAAGATGTAAATAAAAGCACCAGTGACCTAAATCGGAGATAACTCGAGACATTTTCAAATATTCTAAAAAAAATATGTTTTACGCCGAGCATTGGTATGTGCCGAGCATTGGTCCAACCACTCTAAATATTTGAAAGATCCTATTGTATAACGAAAAAATGTATCTTCATGTTTTTTTTCTGTGCTATATACTTACTTTTTCACGGATATAAATGCTTATTTGAAATATATGCATGAATGTAACATAGTCTCAATATTTTGACTGAAAGACCGACTGATTTTACATTGATGTCTGTCTGAAGGGCGACCATCATCTTTATTATTAAATAGCTCTAAAGCTCACAGTTTGTTGGGCTTGAATGTTACAATGACAAATAAATTTTCAAAAACTTTTTTCTCGTGACAGATTCCTAAGGTCTTATCTGGGGCAGAACAACATGTTATTCTGTGCCACTGGTAATTGTAAAAATATATTGACACGCCAAAGCTAGGTTTCGATATTTGTTCTGGTTCAGAATCTCAGAGATACTGCCCATATACAAAATAGCACAATATCTTGTTGCATAGTACAATTACTTGGACTAGGGAAGCCAGTTACATATCATGATAATAATTATTTGTTCTTGGAATTTAGTAGTGACACAGTAATTGTGACAGTCTTAAGTTTTGGGATGACATAACAGGTTGTTAAGCACATAGGTCCTACGCAATATGTGATGTTCCAAAGTTTTCCTTTTCAGACTATTTTTAATATCTGTTTAAACTTATATTATTTTTGAAATCATAAATGTTTAAGTTAAAGCCTACTCAGGTATCACTGAACACATCCAACCTTCCTAACATTTATATATTGTAATACAGATGTCACAGGGAGAGAAAATGTGCAGCCTGACCGGGACTCCAACCTGGGATCCTCAGAATACCGTACTGCGGCTCTACCGACTGAGCTATACAGCCGTTTACACATTTTCTCCCCTAAATAGTGAACAGTTCTGAACCGTGACATACTCCCCTGCTATATTGAAATTCATCCTCGAATTTCACAAGAGTTACAGAGCAATGTGCATTAAACTCTGAGCTGACCTGTATACAGTCATGGTCCCCTGTTGGGCTCCAATTATGAAACAGAATCAAACAGAACAAAGGGCTGGTTGACTCTGCTGTGAGTTCTGGACCTGGGGTAGAGGGGTCTGTAAAAAGACGTAATGCGCTACTCAAAATATTTATTGTTCACTCCAACAAAACCGTGGCCTGCGTCAACAATTTCTCATTTCAAGTGCGCATGCGTTGTGCAGATTAGCAGGGAAATTGAAATAATAGCGAGAAAAGATAATCAAAGAGGTTGAAGAGGTTACAAAGTACTATTACATATAGGTAACAGCTATTGGATATGTGATATGAGCTATGCGTGTATGAATTAAAAAAATAACTACGGAAATCAAGAAGGGACATGGACAATAACATTTAAATATACAGAGACAGGCATTGACACAAAGAGATTAAAAATATACAGCACTTGGCAATACGGACAATGTATACTTGACCCTGTGACACAGAGGTTCTTTAGTAATAAGTTAAAAGATATAATTGAAATAATAACATGTTTTTTTTCTCTTCATTTTACAGATACAGAATACTGAACACATCCAACCTTCCTAACATTTATATATTGTAATACAGATGTTCTTTAGTAATAAATTAAAAGATATAATTGAAATAATATGTTTTTTTTTTTTTTTTCATTTTACAGATACTGAATAGAATGTCCTTAATCTACTTTTGAAACAAAGGCATTTTAAACTGATCAACATGCATAGATTAATGTTATTCAATAAACAGTTACATGTGGGGAGCGATGATTTCGTGTTTTCTGCATCACTTGAGATACTGATGAAGTTTATTGGGTGAGTTAATTTTTCATCAATTTCTTTGAAAATGGTTTGAAAATTTAAAAAAAAAGAATTATTATATAGACTGTGTAGCTTTTTAGTTGTTTTTTTTTCAATAAAATATTCACTGTTTTGGATATGGAAAATTCATGTTATTACAAGATTTTTTTCATTTCAGCATCATTTTCATAATAGTGGAGTTTGTTCGCTACCTTCATGACTTTGAGTGTAGTACAGGACACTTAGTTCACAGTTATTTAAGTGGCCTGATGGTGTTTTTTGCATTGACTGTTGCCGTTGACTACATGATTGTACAAGTTAGCATGAGAGGTACCATCGTAGATGACAGTCCCAGGAAGAATATTACTAAGTTTTTGTATACAAGGCTTGTCATACTTGTAACAGAATTTTTCTGGACTATTTATGGTAATATTTCATTTGAAATTATCAAGTTTTATCGTTGTTTTTTCTGTAACTTTTCAGGTCTTCAGTTTCATATTTAAAATGCCATTACCTATAGGAGTTGATTGTATAATATTGTTTCAGAAGTGCATAAAAAATTGATTATTTCTTGAAATAGTGAAGGACCTTGCTACTGTCTATTGATAAGCCATGTAACTATAGTTCAGAGTTCAATTTTTAGTTAAAATACTTGAAATATTGACATGGCCTAGTGAAAATAGTTATACTTAAACTAAAAAGGCAATGAGGCTTAAAAATACATGTACATGTGCAATGTAATTTCCAAATTGGCAATTACTTATTATCTTATCATATTTTTTTTTCTTAAAATTTTGAATATAATTTGCATTGATAGAACATAAATTTATCACTTTAGTTTTTTTTTCTAACAGGGACAGCATCAATAACTTTACACATGCCAGTTTGTGATTCACAACCACGTGTGTACTGGCTGGCATGTGCTGCTGTCATACTTGGCTGGCTTGCAATCATTGTACAAGTAGTCCTTATATTGTTTGTGTTTGAATTTAAGTCAGACAGGAATAAAGCTATCATCACCAAACATGACTGGGAGAAAAGGTATATCTTATTACATCAAAAGATATTACATTTTTTTAATACTGGCATTTTGAAATATGCATGAGTGAAAATATATGTTTTATATATGTAAATAAGGAAATACATGTATGCATAATTTCTTATTGATTTGTTAAAGTAATGCAGCAGTCTTGTTAGTCATTGCTTTCAAAAGTAAATTTGAATTTGGTAAAATAATGAATAAATACATTTTGTAAATAAAAATATTTGCACTCATTTAATTTCAGATTTCCAACTTGGTCTTTGACATTTGACAAATTTCTTAAATTAGAATATTATAAGCTTATTATACATTGTTGAGTACAATACTGAATTCTATTGGACAAGTACACAGCTGTTAAAACTATATTAGACCAGGTGCTAGACAGATTTGCAGCTGTGTAGGAGTCCAAAAGAATAAAAATTGCTCTTGATCATGTTTAATAACCTCTTTATTTTACACCACTATTTTTTGACGGAACTTTGTTACTTCAGTTACATTAAAGATTTCATATTGATTTTGGACTCTCAAAAAATGAAAATGAGACTAGATGGGGTGTTAAATGGATTTGATATGAACCTTTTGGACTCCAGAAATAAAAACGAGGCTATATGGTGTCTGATATAGATTTGATATGTAGCTTTTGGACTCTGGAAATTTCAGGGTGTGATATGGATTTGACTTTTTGGACACTTGAAATGAAAACCAGGCTAAATTGATAAGATTGGATCCACTACTTTAATGGTTTCTATTGGAACATAATGTGGCTCAAAGGCTGAAAATGCATTGGTTATATTCTATTAAGTGTGAAATATATATATTTTCTTTTTCTCCATATTTCAGATGGAAAGGTTTGTTTTGTTGTCTCAGTTCAAATGAAAACCAACATATTTTTTCAACACTGTCAAGGGTTTGCATGCAACTATTCAAGGTAAGACTTTAAAACTTTATTTTAGATATTGAAGAATAATCGGTGGGCTCTCAGTTATAATTTTATATTCACTTAAAGTGTGTGCAGATCTTAATATTTAAAGATATAGCTTTCATGCAGAAATTTGATCCAAACTTTTAATGTCAATAAAGTGAAGATGACAACTCTGTTTTTTGTTGTTGTTTTTTTTTTCAGATTTTAATTTTCTTTCTTAGTGTACAGTGTCTGTTGTAAGAAAAAATAAGTTTATATGGATTTATATTAGTTTGATTGTGTTGGAAGCTTTAAGGTTATTTAAACACTGGTATACTTTCTTACTAAGTAAAGAGTGAAAAGGCCAACACATTAATCATTCTGCCTTACTGCCATTACTGCATCTTAAATGCTGGCATGAGTTGTTTCTTCTTTTAACACAGTAAATGTATGTAATAGACTTCCCTGGCTTTTAATTCTTTCAAACAGTTTCAATGTCAAAGATCTAAATTTAGCAGGGACCTTTATATTATATAGTTTATTAAGACTGCACCAATGCGCAAACTAGCTAGACTTAATATTTAAAAAATTCAGGGGAATAAGCAGGGTTCCAAAAGTAAATAAGTACACATGCACTAGCCTACAGGATATGTTTATATAGATGATTGAGGCAGAGCCTTGGAAAAAAAAGACCTTAAAACACTTATAGTACATTATTTTTTTTAGAAAGAAGAAGAGCTGGTTGCCAGTGATATACTAGCAGGTTTAATACTGGTTTACAATAAACAACATCAGACTAGACAACAACTAGATGTAGTTGATGCTCCATTACTTACCAGTAGACTGAGGTAAATATATACAAGTTTACACAACACATTATCTACTTAGGGCCTTCTAGGCCATTTCTCGAGGGTGTTCTAGGCCATATGAAAAAGGCATACAGTTGTGAATCTTTAATTTCTCACTGATGTAAATTGTTATCTTGTCTGTGAAGAACATTCAGTTTTTATATGCCCGAAAGGGCATATTATGTTATACCCCCTGGCATCCGTCTGTCAGTCTGTCCGAGCAAACATTTTGGGTTTAGGGGCTATGTTACAGTAAAGAGAACAAAAGAGAACAATAGTTTCATTCCGTGATCAAAGGGTTTAGGGGCTAGTAGCCCTTAAGATAACAAAGAAAATAACAAAGAAAATAGCCCCTAAACCCAAAATGTTGGAACGTCCGTCCGTCTGTCCGTTAGCAATTTGGTTTCCGGAGCATAACTTAAGTTCCATTTGGCCCACAATGTTCAAACTTCATAGGATGATTGTCCATATTGGGTAGAAGATCCCTATTGATTTTGGGGTCAAAAGGTCAAAGGTCAAGGTCACTATTACTTAAAAACTGAAAACAGTTTCCGGAGCATAACTTAAGTTCCATTCGACCCACAATGTTCAAACTTCATAGATTGATTGTCCATATTGGGTAGAAGACCCCTATTGATTTTGGGGTCACAAGGTCAAATGTCAAGGTCACCATGACCTTGATACTGAAAACAGTTTCCAGAGCATAACTTAAGTTATAATTGACCCACAATGTTCAAACTTCATAGGATGATTGTCCATTGTGGGTAGAAGACCCCTTTTGATTTTGGGGTCAAAAGGTCAAATGTCAAGATCACTATATCCTTAAAACTGAAGACAGTTTCTGGAGCATAACTTAAGTTCCATTTGGCCCACAATATTCAAACTTCATAGGATGATTGTCCATATTGGGCAAAAGACCCCTATTGATTTTGGGGTCACTAGGTCAAAGGTCAAGGTCACAATTACCTTAAAACCAAAAACAGTTTCCGGAGCATAACTTAAGTTCCATTTGGCCCACAATATTCAAACTTCATAGGATGATTGTCCATATTGGGTAGAAGACCCCTATTGATTTTGGGGTCACAAGGTCAAAGATCAAAGTCACTTTCACCTTAATACTGAAAATAGTTTCTAGAGCATAATTAAAGTTCCAGTTGGCCCACAATATTCAAACTTCTTAGGATGATTGTCCATATAAGGTAGAAGACCCCTATTGATTTTGGGGTCACAATGTCAAAGGTTAAGGTCATTATTAATAACTTAAGTATTAATCAACCTACAGCTGTAAAATTTTATAGGATGAACAGCTAATTCCCATGTCTTACAAATGCTTCATCCTTATTAAAAAAAAAAACACTTTCGGGCATATAATGCTCCGCCTAGTGGTGCTCTTGTTCTAAGTAAGTTATACATCTAGATTTTTTAAATTATGTAATTTTAAAAATTTTGCTGCACTTAGAATAATGCACAAATAACATGAGGGGGTCTCTCTTTACATGTTGCAAATTAACAGAGTTTGATGTAACTTAAAAAAAAGCATCATTATTCAAAATCAAAACAAAAGCCTTTAGCACATTAGAAATTTTTAAGTTCATCACTCTTGACTCACTGGCTCTTGTAATTCAATTAATGTGTAGATAGGATACAAGTTGGACTTGTAAGGACCAAAGAATGAAATAACAGTCTCACCTTTCATGCCAACATTACCTTTAAGTAAGAATAAATACATATTTATAGATCATAGGCTAATTTCTCATAAGCTAATTAGCAAATGTTATTTAATTATGAATGTTATTACAGATATTAATAGTTATGTTCATAGATTTCATATGACGAAAGTACTTGCAATTATTTCATTCAACCATTTAATATGGGACGTAATTTGTTTATAATTAAATATAATTAATATATAAAAGCTGGCCGGTTAGCTCAATAGATGGAGCTTTGAATTGTGAATCAGGTGAACTGGGTTTGATTTCCAAACAGTACAGTCACTTTCGTTGCGATTGATCATGAAATCTAGGCTCATTCGCATTGTACCTATGTTCTGGCATGTACAGAAGTTATCAATTCCTTAAATTGAAGTGAAGGCAACTAGTACTGGTAAACTGCTTGACAGCCTGACCAGGAACTTATAATGCGGTGGCTGAACTGTGCTCTGGTAAGTTCTATGTGGCTTACTGCTGTCATGAGTGCAAAATTACCAACACCCACCAACAACATTTTTTAAATACATTTTGCATTTAATCAATGGTTTAGTTCCAGCTAAAATAGTAATTTGAAATTAGATTAACTTTATGTATATGTTGTTGTAGATGCAAACCTTATAAAACAGTACCCTCTCCTGCAATGTGCCGTAAATCATGGATGACTTTCAGTGAGGCAGCACTATATATGAAATATGCTCTGGGAAGCTATGGATGGTTCTACTACATTGGTCTTAACAACCCAGTAGTGGCCACATGTAAATTAATGCCAAGACTCAAGTTAGTATAATTATTGATATGAATATTTCATGAATTTATAGTACAGTAAAAACTGTTTACAGTGACCTTCGATGGGAATAAAGAAAAAAAGTCATTATAGATAGGGAGTCACTGTGAACAGTCTTTACAGAATTCGGATATATGAACATACTTTGCCAATATTTTTTTTGATAGCAGGATACTACCATACTTACGGTTTAATTGTATTTTCTTATTTGTATTTAACATATATTAAACATACCATGTATCATTTATAAAAACAAGACAGTATTAATAAAATTGCATGTATCATTGGTTAAGATTATAAACTGCACCATTACATTAGTATTTAAAAGTTACATCTTGATCATATTGATAAATTTGTTTGTAAAAAAACCCAAAAAAACTGTTTAAATTCAATTTTACTAATAAGATACAATATCTACAATAAAACACGTACAGTAGAATAAAAATGAATAAAGGTTTAGGATTCTGTATTGATGTACATTTATCAAACATTGTTCGGAAAAAATGGTGTTTAATTTGTTTGAAACCTTTAGTTAAACTTTTTATGTACTTTTTATATTCTGGTTTTCCAAACTGTAATTTTCACCTTCTTATGTCCTTAACTTTTGTTTTTGCCTTGCTTCCCTCATCTTATATTTCACTTTCTTATTTCCTTAAAGCCCCATTATGCCTCAGATATGCTTTAATTTTAATTTCTTAAAAACTTTTAATTTTTTGTAACCCCATTCGAGTTACTCCTTTTGCAAAAGTCGCTTTCCACAGCTTTTATACCGTAACAGGAGATGCTAAATCATGGTCGTTGTACAGACTAGACAGGGAGTCGCTACATACAGACCATTTATATAGTAAATACTGTTCGGTGCACCTAATTATGGTCACTTAAGACAGAACGTCGCTATATACAGGGGGTCACTGAGACAGTCTTTACTATATATAACATAAGTTATAATAAATGTATTCATTTAAGCTTGAAAGCTAGTGATGTGTTGATTAGATGTAAATATTTTTTTGTGTGAATTGTGAATTATTTTCCCTGATGACATGTTGAATATGATAATCATGTTTTGCTGTTACTGCACTAAGGTAACATTATCTGTAAAATGAGAGACTATTTGAATCAACATTGAAATGAAACATTTTAATGTTGGTGCACATTCCATCATTTCATAACCATTCATTAAAACGTTTCAATTTGTTACAAATTCATAATGTTCTTAAAAAGAGAATATTTTAATATATTCATTGACATGTATTCTTGCATAAGAACTAAGTGTGCAGGTACATTATTGAAGAAGACATCACACATTAATGCAAAAAATCACACATGCATTGTTATTTAACATTTTTATTATGCATGATTCAAGCATTACAAAATTGGTTTATTTATACTAAAAACAAATAATCAATAACCAATCAGAAAGTCTTACATACATGTACTTTCATGCTAAAATTAAGCTAATACACCTTTTTGTGCATTTACATGTACATCTGCAGAAGCCCGCAGACTGAATCCTTTGTCCAGCTGGCTTGGGCTTTAATTGGGTCCCCATGCTTCTGCTGATATTAATGCATGAAGAAATGTACATTAACCCTCAATATCTGATTAGTAATTTTTGCAACATAGTAATAGCTTCTTTGTTGTTTATATTTAACTAAAAACATCACATTTGTCAAGAAACTATAAGGTGGTCTTTCTTTAGAAAAAGAAACTTGAAGTGACATTACACTGATTTTTTCCTTTGTCATGTTGTGCTGAATTGACTATATATTTTAGAAGATTGACTGTTAAAATGGTGATTGACCAACAGTTGAAATTGGAAAATGTATAGGATAAAACATAGGTCTGCATAAAATTATAAAAGATTGCCTTACTTTTTAATCTTTTTAAAAATTGATTGTTACAGGTAAATTCCAATGGATATTTACAGACATTTTCTTTGGCCACATGAGTTATTTGTTGTTCATTGGATGTAAACTATAAAATTGAAAGGAATTATGGCAAAATGTAAACTTATTATCTGTTCCCTCAATCTGTACCCTTGGAAAGGTATAATGTCACTTTGAGATAGACTGTCATTATCTTATTTTGAGTAAAATAGTTGAACAAAGAATTATGTGATATATAAAAACTAATTAACAAATTAACTAATATATGTTACAGTTGGGGTATGAAGGAACCTCCAGGTCATATTGTGAAAGATGATAAACTTCTAGCTAACACAGCAGCATTCTGTTTACAAACTGGCTGTTCCATTGATGATCTAGTCCATGTGTCTTTCCTAAATGAGGTAAAATTTTAAATGTACATTAAAAATCTGAAAACCAAAACCTGTCCAGATTTGACCAAAAGTTAGATTTTTAGACGTTTCCAGTTTTCAGAGGTTTTATACATTTATTGATAATTATGATGTGTTTGAACATTGACTTTGTATAAGAAATTTTGTATTTACTTTTCAACCCTTTTTTCTATGTCATATTTTAATATTTTTTTTGAAAATTGTCTTATGCAAATTCATGAATAATTAAATATAATTCAGAAAATTAGAAATTAAAACTACACATTGTCTGAAATATAACTTTTTAATTGGTTTTTGAAATATGTAATCTTTTGGAACTTTCTTTTTCCCTTAGCAATAGCAACCAGTAATGTTTTTACACATGCACTATTACAGATACAAATATGAACTTTGTGATATCAGCTTAAGATATATATCATCATCTAGTCAGTGTCTATCAAGTTTGTTCAAATAAATGTCCTGGCGTCAAAATTTGGCCCCACCCCAGGGGGTCATTGTTTTCCCTTTATGTATATAGTAAAAACTTAAAAAATCTTCTTTTAAAAAACCTGTAGAGCTAGAGCTAAGATATTTAGCATGAAACATCTTCTAATAGGTGTCTACCAAGTTTGTTCAAATAAAAGCCCTGGGGTCAAAATTGGCCCCACCCCAGGTGGTCATTGTTTTCCATTTATGTATATAGTAAAAACTTAAAAAATCTTCTTTAAAAAAACCTGTAGAGCTAGAGTTAAGATATTTAGCATGAAACATCTTCTAATAATAAATGGGTGTCTACCATTTTTATCCCACCACCATATAATGGCTGGGGCATTTAGTTTTACCCTGTTCCGTTGTTCCGTCATTCCGTCCTTCCGTCATTCTGTCATCATCAGTTTCCATTCATTATCTTAGTAGCAGTTGCACACATTCAACTCAAATTTGGCATATGGATATGTCATGACAACATACAGGTCAAATTCGAATTTGGTCATGGTTCGATGATTTTTGACAGAGTTATGCCCCTTTTACTTTGAAAATAATATGAAATTTTCAGTTTCTGTTCATTATCTCCCCAACGGTATTACACATTCAACTCAATCTTAACATATGGATATGTCATGAGAAAATACAGGTCAAGTTCGACTTTGGTCATGGTTCGATGATTTTTGGCAGAGTTATGCCCCTTTTACTTTGAAAATAATATGAAATTTTCAGTTTCCGTTCATTATCTCCCCAACAGTATTACACATTCAAATTTGACATATGGCTACGTTAAAAAAATGCGCAGGCCTAGTTCGAATTTGGTTATGGTTCTATGACTTTTTGCAGAGTAATGCCCCTTTCACTTTGAAAATAATATGAAATTTTCAGTGTCAGTTCATTATCTCCCTAACAGAGTTACATATTCAAGTAAATTTGACATATAGATATGTCAAAGGAATGCGCAGGTCAAGTTCGAATTTGGCCATAGTTCGATGATTTTTGGCAGAGTTTTGTCCCTTTCACTTTGAAAATAATATGAAATTTTCAGTTTCCGTTCATTATCTCCTCTAGAATATTACACATTCAACTCAAATTTGACATATGGGTACAGCAAAGAAATATGCAGGTCAAGTTCAAATTGTGTCATGGTTCGATGATTTTTGGCAGAGTTATGCCCCTTTAACTTTGAAAAAAAAGGAAATTTTCAGTTCCCATTCATTATCTCCCCAACAGTTGTACATATTCAACTCAGATATGTCATAAGAATGCATTGGTCAATTTCCAATTTGGTCATGGCTTGATGATAGCTGACAGAGTTATCCCTCTAGAACCTTGAAAAAAAAATCAGAAAGTTTCAGTTCATTATCTTCTCAATGGTTGTACTCATTCAACTCTTTGACATACATATACATCTTAGGAATAAGCAGTTCAAGTTTGAATTTGGTCGTGGTTCAATGATTTTGGACAAAGTTGTCTCCCTTGAATGTTGGAAAAATTTTGAATTTTCAGTTTCAGCACTCATACTTTTGTGGAAATGTATGTAGCCATTAATTTGGCTAGAAATATGCAATATGCAATTTACAAAAGGTTAACACTGAATAGTTTCAGTGCCTTGAACTTTGTTTAAGGTGACAACAGACACTTTCCGTGGTACTCACATAAATGTCATTTAAACCAACTTATTTTAGTAATAATTGTTATTTATTTAATCGTTGTGCATTAAATGTCGTTGATCATCATATAAAATAACATATTTGAAAAAAATGCCTTTGTAAATGATTGATTTTTAATAAAAATCCTAAAATTTTAAATCGTCATATCAAAGTCATTTTTTATTTTTTTGTCATCAAACTTTTGGAAAATAAACATACTTATAATATCTGGGGAACCGTGTCTCAAATTTTTTCTATCTTTTCTCAAAAAAATATTACGTAACGTCAAACATTTTATGCGACTTTTTTCACCATACATATTACGTAATTAAAGATAATTAAGTCGCTGATTGAGCAAACAAAAATCCCTGACACGGTTCCCTCCGTAAATGAATTCCATTTCATGTGCTTTAAACCGCATGTTAATTGCTTGATTATTAAAAAAGTTATGCCGATTCAAAGTTAGTCCGACCCGCATCAAACGAAGTGTCATAAATCGGCTGTTCTCTCTCGGACCCCTACGTTTCAGGCTAAATAATTGCATAATACACAAATATCGCACCAGAGAGGGTCACAAGTTGCGGTAACATACTCTAACAACATTTTATGACCCAGTGACATCTGACCAATTAAAAAGTTGCTGATTAATATCAGTTTATAACAAAAATTTCTTCAAATCTTAACGTGATTTACCGTCCGTCTGGTATCGGTCGCACATGCCACGTGACTTTCGGTAAAATTTGAGGCACTCGGTGGGGGAAATGGAACGTATCTGCGCACCGCTATCGGGGTATTTAATTGTTTCACTTTTGAAGTTTATTACTATTATCATCAGCATTATTATTATATTATACCAGTGTCAATCTGTCTGTGTATTCGTGTATGAAATTCCGTTAAAATATAAATTAAAATAACAAAAAACTGAGCTTCTGACGGTCTTTTAAAGTCCATGGTAGATGTACAAATAAGAACGGGATATTATATATTTTTTCCTCCAAATTGATATAAATGCTTCACATATTTTAATAGAAATAAAAGGTATCACTCGATCATTATGATCTGACCTTCTTGACTTCTATTATCATGAATACACGTATCATCTATGCAGGACATAGAGATCCAGTTTCTACTGGGATATACAATAAATTCCATACTTTGTCCAAGGTTTATTATGCTCCCCGAAAAAATTTCGGGGGAGCATATAGTCGCCGCCTTGTCCGTCCGTCCGTCCGTCTTTCCGTCCGTCCCCTTTTCTTGTCCGGGACATAACTCTAAAAGTATAAGAGGTATCAACATGAAACTTTGTAGGTAGATAGATCTCATTGAGTAGGTGTGCAGTGCACAAGAACCGTAACTCTGCCTTGCCTTATTTATGAATTACCCCCCTTTGTTTATTTTACACTTTGAACTTTGTCCGGGACATAACTCTAAAAGTATAAGAGGTATCAACATGAAACTTTGTAGGTAGATAGATCTCATTGAGTAGGTGTGCAGTGCACAAGAACCGTAACTCTGCCTTGCCTACTTTTGGAGTTATTGCCCTTTGTTCATTTTGACACTTTGAACTTTGTCTGGGAGTCTAGGTAGCTAGATATAATTGGATAGAATTGCAATGCTTTAGAACCTTAACAAAGCCTGGTCTAATTTTTGGAGTTATTGCTCTTTGTTCATTTTTACACTTTGACTTTTACCCGGGACATAACTCTGATATCATCAGGAAACTTTATAGATAGATAGATCTCATTGAATAGAAGTGCAGTGCAAAAAAAAACATAACTCTGCTTTGCCTAATTTTGGAGTTTTTGCCCTTTGTTCACTTTTTTATACGCCCGTTTGAAAAACGGGACGTATTATGGGAACGCCCCTTGCGGGCGGGCGGCGTCCAATTTTGTCCGGAGCATATCTCCTACATGTATGGAGGGATTTTAATGAAACTTCATAGAAATGTTCACCACTATGAGGAGCAGTGTCGCGCACATGAACCAGGTCTCTAGGTCAAAGGTCAAGGTCACACTTAGAGCTCATTGAAAAATGCTTGTCCGGAGCAAAACTTCCACATGTATAGAGGGATTTCAATATTACTTGGCACAAATGTTCACCATTGTGAGGCGGAGTGTCGCGTGCAAGATTCAGGTCTTTGCGGCCAAGGTCAAGGTCACACATAGAGGTCAAAGTTCAGATAAAAATATGAAGATGTGTATATGGACCATTTAGTCATCATTTATTGAGGGATTGTAACACAAATGGTCATTATCAAGACTATGGCTGTGATACATATAATTTAGGTCAATATATACAAGGTCAAGGTCACTAAAGATGATGAAATATCCAGATTTTGTAAATAGAATTTAATCAAAGGGCGACAACAAAGTTATTACTTTGTTCATAAATGACTTACACAATTACTCCCCTTGATCTACTTTCACTTTCAATTCTAAAAATAGAATTTAATCAAAGGGCATAAAGTAATCCTCTTTCTTGGACTTGAGTATGTTCTAAAGAATGTAACATTTATTTACACATGTTTCATTCATTGGTCAAGATTCTTAACTGTGATAACTATGGTGTTCTGTAGACTTGGTATTTGTTCATAAAGATCATACAGTAATTACCTTATCAAATGTAAATACTTTCTCATAGAAATTTAATTATATTTTAATTTTCAAGTAAATATCAGTTCAGCTCATTCAAAGATTAAGAATTGTAATGAAATGTATTTCCCTAGAATAAAATCTTAAATCAGAATTTTTTAGATCCATAATGCCCCCATCTCCATCTAAAGCTTTCGTAAACGGGCGTATTTTGTGACTATGGCACCCTTGTTTATACTTTCCTGTGTCCAGAACCTTCTCGGGGAGCATCACCCGGTTCAACCGGTTCTTGTTAGTACTGTGTTCGATTTACTGGCGAACAATTTATTCAAAGCATTCACTGATAATATATTTTATTATCTTTTTTAATTGATTCATAGAGAAATAATCATCCTTAGACAACCTAAAATGGTTTAGAAATTTGTCAGGGACACCTTACCACAAGTCATATAGGCGTTCACATAAAAAATGTTGTCTGTTTTTGTTGTTGTTTTACTTGACATTGTTAGAAAACGAGGTTGAATGTAAAGCAAGTCCTTGAATCCGTAAAAAAGTCCATAAACTCAATGTAATATCTATCAGATTAACAGGACAGACAAATTATTTTCACACATTATGGATATTTTAGCAAAGTTGTTCTATATTTCTAATCAACCCCGTGGTCGTGCGAATTGCCGCTATGCTTAATTATCTATGTTTCATACATTATGTTACGTACATTGGCCGATAATTTCTTATTTTATAAAAAAGGATAAATAAAAGGTAGACGATATTCATAAAAGATGTACGGTATTTGTACGATACATGAATTACGAGTGGTATGGACCAGTATGGATACGTAATTCACGCATATATGGAACTACCGATTTCCCCCATTGATGCCTCAACAGGGGGCGGAGCGTTATCGATAATTGACAGGTTACGCGAATAGCAGATAAAAATGGTACAGGTACCGTTTTAAAACGTTTAAAAACACATTTTTTGGACTAACTGCTTCCAAAAATAAATCACGAATGTGTTCAGAAAAGGTTGATAAATCTACTAAGCAAAATATCTCATTTTAGGTATTTTCAGTGATAATTGACTCCGTTGTCACCTTAAAAATGGTTTGTGTTATCATTGAATAGTTTTAAGGGCTTTGAACTTAAAAATGAAAAACATTATTGTGCAAACAAATTTGGAACTAAATATTATAACATCTGAAATTTTGGCTGCATGCGGGGGCATCCGTGGCGTGACGACACATTTCTAGTTGTTCAAATATGGGCCCTGGGGTTAAAATTAGCCCTGGCCCGGGGATCATTGATTTTCCTTATATGTATATAGTAAAAACTTAATAAATCTTCTGTTAAAAACCCAAAGAGCTAGAGTTTAGATATTAAGCTTGAATTATCTTCTAGTGAGTGTCTACCAAAATTGTTCAAATACAAGCCCTGGGGACAAAATTGGACCCGCTCAGAGGGGGGGGGGGGGTCATTGTTTTTCCCTATATGTGTATAGTAAAAACTTAAAAAATCTTCTTAGAGCTAGAGCTTATAGAGCTTAGATATTTAGCATGAAACATCTTCAAATGGGTGTCTACCAAGTTTATTAAAATAAAAGCCCCTGGGTTAAAATTGGCCCCGCCCCTGGGGCCTATATACAGGTGAGCGATTTCAGGGCCATCATGGCCCTCTTGTTTAAATTTCATACTGTATTTTTATCCAGGCCATTTCTCCTAAACTATAAAAGTTTTGGACATGAAACTTCATAGGATGATAGGTCTCATCGAGATGAACTCAGTGCACAAAAACCGGCAGTTTATGTTTTTTGAGTTATTGCCCTTTGTTAATTTTCATACTTTAATTCTGTCCAGGCCATTTCTCTTCAACTATAAAAGCTATGGACTTGATTATCTTCATAGGATGAAAGATCTCATTAAAAAGAAGTGCAGTGCACAAGAACTGGTACTCTACACTTTTTATTTTTAGTTTATTGTCCATTTCTCTTCAACTATAAAAACTATGGACTTGATTATCTTCATAGGATGATAGATCTCATACAAAGAAGTGCAGTGCACAAGAACTGGTACTCTGCACTTCTTATTTTTTTTGTTATTGCCCTTTAGCAGTGTTTATAAATAACCTACATTTAAGTTCACAAGGCGACACATCCGACTTGCGGAGTTCTAGTTTTTCCATGACTGAACTCTTCCATGTACCCATTAAGGCATGTTTCCATAACAAAATTACCAATAGTATGAGTCAAGGGCTAGAAAGGGGGTCATATGTGTCATTCAACATTTCTTGTTTTTAAAATTGTTATTGACAAGAATCTGGGCTGGGGTCATTTGTGTTTACCAAACACGTAATTATTTTTTGTTGTTTTTTATAACAAATAAAGACACTGTTTATTTTAGTCAAATCAGAATTGTATTAAAAGTACATTGAAAATCAAAAACTGTTATGATATAGTCAAGAATCTGTTTTTGTAGATTTTACATTCATTGTATTTATTGCATACTGTGTTACATTAAGTCATATACTTCAATCTCATCTCCAGATTTCCCTATTATCATTTTGGTCATTTCTTTATTGCAACAGAGTCCTTTGTAACTGCCATTCTGGTCAGTAAATCTCACAACTTCACCTCTCAGTTTACCATCCAATCCGAATTGTAGCACATTATTTGAGATATTGTTAGACATTAGTAGACTTCCCCTACCTGTCAGATGACAGTCCCAGGCCCCATCTAATTGTGGACCATTAAATTTTCCTACAACTTTTCCTTGGTTGTCTAAAACAATCAGCCCATTATTCCAGCCAGCAACAAAAACTTTTGAAGCATCTTCAGTTACAGCCAGGCTACGAATGGCATATGACATTTCCCTCCTCGGAGGATCCTTAGTGAATTTTTGTAGTTGTCCACCCATCATGTTGTATACATAAACTGCTGAAAATCTGTCAGAAATGTATAGATTGCCCTCAGTGTGAGCAAGACCATGACAGTTGAAACCTGTTGATATGTTTTGTGTTACACTCATTCTGTTGGCTAGAGAAACAAACAGAACTTTCTCTTTACGGGGCAAACTTACAGCAACCTGATCATTCCTGATACTACACACTTGCCATGGTTTACCAGGCATATCACAGGAGTCTCTGACAGCAAATGTTGAACCATTCAAGCGTTTTATTTTGTTGTTACGGCCTTCTGCCAATATAATCGTGCCATCTTCCATTGTACAAGCTGTAAGTATGCTACAGTCAAATTTGTCTGCCCTACCTCTCACACAATATTTCTTTACCTGTGTGGTCTTATATAAACCCTCTTCCTTTGGACTTGCCACAGTTTTCAAATTTGGACTTGCCTCGGTTTTCAAATCTGGACTTGCCACGGTTTTCAAATCTGGACTTGCCACGGTTTTGAAATCTGGACTTGCCGCGGTTTTCAAATCTGGACTCGTCATGGTTTTCAAATCTTCATTTCTTGTTGTAACTTGTTGTAATGCTTTTCCTAGAGCATTTATCTCTTTTAACAAAGATGATATTCTTATATCAGCAGCAAAGTCAATATTCTTGGATTGTATGGGGAGTTTGTTTTGTTCAAGAACATCAATAATTTCAGTGGCCACCTTTTTTGACTTCTTAATATTTACAAAATTCTGGGTTATTTGGTCACTGTCAGCTGAAAGCACATCAAGGCTATTTTTAACTTTGAGTTTATTTGTCTCAAGCATTGTCATTCCTTTGTCTACAATGTCAACAAGGACTGCATACTGACCAGATATATCAGCGACACTTGCTTTTTCAAGCTCATCTAGCCTGTCATTGATTTCTTTTCTGAACTTTTTCACCACTTCTAAGGTCTCTTCTCTTGATTTCAGGATTCTTGATTTTTCTCTTTTAAAGATATCAAGTTGCTCAGTAATGCTTTTGATAACTTCATTAAGTTTGTGTTCCATTTCAGTAGTTCTAGCAAGTCTTCTTTTGTTTTCAACATATTCTGGTATATAGAAAATATCTTTGCATAATCTGAAATAAAACAAGAATGTGTTATCTAAAAGAATGAAAATGTCAAATGAGCTACATATATTCGGGCAAATGATTATGGTCCGATAAAACAAATTTTAACTAGATTTATCTCATTTTCCAGGAGAAACTAGCTGATGCACCGACCAGTAGATTTGTGTTTATTTGATGAAACCTTTCATTGTAATTTTATAGACTTTCATGTCAAAAAACACACACAAAAACAGATGCTGAGGGAAAAAAAGCAATTCTCCTATATCATTGATTTTCATTATGTGCATATACTATGATATAGTAAAAACTTCTTGTCTGAAGGTACAAGGCTTAGAGCTTTGATGTTTGGTATATAGTATCATCTAATAGTATTCTACCAAAGTTGTTCATATTTTGCCCCTAGGTTCAAAATTGGCTCGCCCCAGGGTCATAGGTTATCCTTTAACCTTTTACAAACAAAAAAAATCTACTTCTGTTAAATTGATTAATGCAGCGACATTGCATTTTTACACAAATTCAATCTTAGTGTACATAGAGACTACTTAAACACTACAAAAATGGTTGAAAAATTGATTTAATAGCATATCCAATCATATATATATTATCTTAAATCCCCCATGACCATTTATGATATTGAAAAATACATGTAGCCATAAAGCTTGAGTGAGTTTTACCTATGGTTTACTGCCATGCATGTTCCACACCCAACATCATCATGATTTTGACAGTACATGTCAATGAAATGATGACTATGTCTCTCACACCTTTCTGTTGGTGCCTCTAACACAGATTTACTGACCGTGTCCTTTTTTGTCGGTTCCCTTGGGAAGTGTTCTTTATCCAATATTGTATGCCTAGTTAGTGATGGGATGTCATCATGTACCTTGACACAAGTCAAACAGAAGTAATCCTGACATTGCTCGCAGTATTTCTCCCCCTCACAATGTTTACCATTACGTTTACAAACTCTACACATGAAGTCAAATATTTCGTCTGATGCATTTGTACTTCCTACAGATGCCATCTTTATACAAAACTGTTGTAAACTGCTTATTACTCCATTTTATAAAAAAAATCAATCAAGTAGATTATATTTGTACAGGTTATATACAGTTGACAGCCTTCAAGGCCCTTGAATTTGTTTTGTCACATGACATTGATTTTTGAGTGAACACGAGATAAGATTACAAGTTTACACACAGTTTGTTCAATTCATGTATTTTTTTTTGTATCGGCGGAAATTAACTGTATATTTACTGCTTTATCTATTTGTAAATGAAATCAGGTCATGTTCTGACTGTAATATTTGTGGTATTTAGTTTAAAAAACTGCAGTTTATGATATTATTGAGAAGGTATAAGAAGAATTGTTCTCTATTATTTCTGGTATATTTATCGCAATACAAAAGTACTGTACAAGTGATTTAAAAGTCTAATGTTTAAAGTGAAACACTCAGTCCTGTGCATCTGTATGTATAATGTATTGACATAGCATACATATTGTACATGTAGTTAAGTGATAAATCAACTGTATAATATATATATAATATTATACACAATTTTAATCAGTTTGCTACTTTAATGATTGAAGATGAAATTTGAAAAATATAATAATTATTCAAGTGTCTTGACTTTTGAATAAAATTTAAGGTATTATCACTATCATGTGAAGATTAACATTATGTATTTTTAGCTTGATTTAAAAAAAAAAGGTATTGTTACAGTCACCTTGGCGTAGCAGTTCACAAAGTTGTACCTTGATCATAATTTTTTTAGTTCTCGGTGTTATGTCTTTATACTTTGCAACAGCAACCCTTGGAACAAGACCTTTAAGTAGACTAGACTAACCTTGACCTTCATCCTTAAATGACATTGACCTTCAAGGCCAAATGTCTAAATTTTGCTTGTTTATTTGCTGTTAGTGGCTGTAACTTTGTTATTTTTCAATGGATTGTCTTCAAACTTGAATATAATAATTTTTTATGATAGACCTTTCAGTTAACTATACAGACCCTTGAGCTCCACTCATAAATGACCTTGACCTTGAAGGTCAGATTATTGAAATTTTCATTTTATTACTGTAAGTGGCTATAACTTTTTTGTTATTGAATGGATTGACTTCATATTATAACAGAACATTTTTAGGATAAGACTTTTGTGTAAATCAATTGAACTGACCTTGACCTTTAAATGACCTTGACCATCATGGTCAAATTATTGAATGTTGGTTAAATTGTCATACTTTTGATAATAATGTACAGATTTTATTTAAACTTGGACAAAACAATACTTGCTACCAAACAAATGTATTGAATAATTCAGATGTGACCTATATTAAACTCAAATTGACCTTGACTCATGTATGGCCTGAAGAGTTAATTGAGATTAAAAAAAAAAATTCCAGACAAGTTTCTTGATTGGGTCTCTACTCCAATTGAAATATTATTTTTGATTACTCAAACAAATTTACATCTGAGCCTATATAGCCATGCCTTTGTGGTGCTTTTGTTTCAACTTTTAAACATTTAATTGTTCAATGTTGATTAAGTTTTATTATATCCCCCAAAATTTTTCGCACTTACTCAGTATAGTCTTGTAAAAAAAAACTCTGTTAAGTCTTATTTTGTGAAAATACAATGCCTAGAATTTAAATATTTGTCATGTAGCATTACCTTGTTGACATCTACAAAATGGGTGTAAATCATGCCCCTTGTGTCAATATTGGCCAAACCCGGGGGTCTCTTGTTTTATATAGGCTACAAAGCACAGAGCTTAGATATTTGACATGCAGCATCAATTAGTAAAGTAAAGTAATTGCATTTTATAGTCTAAGTTTCATGCTTACGCACATTCACCGACTTTACAGCTATTACCCCTGGTCAAATTAGTAGTTTTTTCCAAAAGTTTGTTCAACATTGGCCTTCCATGCTAGTCACTTGCTTAATGTAGACTTATGTAAAGAAAACCACATCTTATATTTTTGTGGATAACTTCTATGTCTAGAGCTTCTATATTTAACAGATAGCATTGCCTAGTAAACCTATATAAAATGTTTATAACCAAGACCATCAAAATTTTTAAGTAGTTTCTTTTACTATCAAAAGGGAAAGTAAAATAAAGGATACAATGTAGTTTGGATTTGTTTCTTCTGTTTTCAGATTTATGCAATTCCATTCTATGTTTGTATTGACAATGAAAACCAGTCGGTTATTGTCGCAATAAGAGGAACTCTATCTTTAGAGGTAAGATAATTTGCAATGTTTTAAATATATGATTTTCAAATTAATTTCTTTAAACATTTATTATATGAGTTATCATTTAATTAGTATAAAAATTTGTTGCGTCTTTTTATGAAAACATTTGCAGATGTTTCTTTATTAAAACACCATTTTCATGTTGAACAGTTGACTTGGAAGGGGAGTGTGAATGATAGCAATTACTACTGCCATCAACAAACAGACTCAGTCAAACTGAGTCTGCAATATTTTAAATTTTTCTGTTTTTGACCATCCTTTTAGATACCCACTTTCACTACATGTTAGTGTTGTTTTCCTTTTTAAGCTCTTTAAAGTTATTTTTTTAACTGCATAGTTGTACCATAATATTATTTGTATGTTCTGTTAAATTGACAGTCACACTTTATTGTAATTTCAATACAGGATATTCTAACAGACTTGGTTGTTGAGAGGGCTCCAGTATGTTTTGGGGGTATTAAAGGTTCAGTCCATACAGGGATGTACCAATCTGCCATATATATACGTAACAAAATTCTTTTGGAGGGTATACTTGAGAACGCTTTCAAGAGAGTGGAGGTAAGTATATTGTCTATATGAAAAACTATGGAGAGTAAGTCTATGTCAACTTTATTACTTCCTGTTAAGGTTTTGGCGCAAAAGTAGTTATCTATCCTATCTTTGCTTATCATGAATTGATTCAGTTAATTAACATGAAGTTTCTCAGCACTATTATCATTTATAACAGGTTCTGTAACTCTGCTACAAATTATTGAAGAGTTATGTTTATCTTTTATAATAAGCAGTTGTTTAATATCTTTGATCTATTTTACACAAGTCTATTAACTTTATTTATGAATGTAAGCCCCTGAAATTAAACAAATACATGTACAATCAAACTTGTAATGAATGAATACCAGAAGTGGTCCCTTAGCCTGCTAGGGGAACTGATTCTATCTATACAACAAGTGCAGACCAAGATTAATAGGCACATCCTGTACATGCCTTCTGATCAAGGTCTGCAGTTTTTATTAATCAGTCGACATATATTGTGAAAAAAATTCCCTTAAAATGAACTGTTTTGTCCAGATTGAAAGTTGGAACATTATAATAGGCTAAAGGTTAATGCATCGGTCTCTTAAGTCAAAGCATGAAAATAAAAGTAAAACAAAATTTGTTTATGATATCTTTGACAGGTGAAAATGGTTGCTAGATGAAAAGATTGATTACAATTAGCTGACTGTTTAGGGATCATTGGAGTGAAGGTCACTTTACACATTAAGGATATACTGTAGAGAGACAATAATCAGGGGGAATTTAAAGTGGTCACTCAATCATGAAAGACAAAAGTCGCTTAATACACTTGGTCTTTTGGGCAAGTTAGACTGTATTATGAATTTTTTATTAAAGAAAGAGGAAGGGTGTTTTTATGATTATAATATTGCATGTATGTTTATCAATAGGTTTGGATCATAGAAGACTTACTCCCATTTTGTAAAAAGTATAGACTCAGAGCAACAGATTTATACATTTGCATAGAATTATAAACATGCAAATAAGAATTAGGTCAAAGTGGCAGTGATCTCTGTATGCAAAAAAAAGCTATTTACATGTAATTTACAATGTTGTTTTTTCTCAGACTTTTGTCTTTAAGTACAAAGAATCATGATAAAATCTCTAAGATAGAACTTTTTATGTTTGATACCATTTAATTTTCAATAAAACATATAAACAATAAAACATATAATGCACAGTCCTAAAGTCTCACATAGTTTGATATTTTTTTCTCATATTTAATCAACAACACTGATTATGATTATATCTATTTTATTAACATAACTATTCTAACACTTAACCTGCTGAATCAAAAAGATATTAGCATTTGCCACTTGTATAGAGCCAGGCCAGCCTGAACTTCCATGCAGTCTGATCAAGTTCTATACTGTTGGCTGAGTAATTCTTGATTATCACCAAAATTGATATTGAACTATTTCAAAAATGGAAGCCGGTCAAATTACTTTTAAGAAATTCAGCTGGTTAATGATTAATGTTTCTATGACTACAGCCAATTAATAGTATGACATATCATATATCATTTCTAATTGTCCAACATTAATTTGATCACTTGTAGCCTGTTTGTCATGTTCCGTCCAAGTACTATGGTTTGATCTTCCCATCTCATAGAGACAGTTTGGGGACGGTAACATACCTTAGACAGCACTTTTAGGTCAACTGCCTCTATATTTGATGTGATTGAAGATTTTGCTTTGTTGTGGATTAGCAGCACCTTCTTTGCCAAGCTTGCACACAGAATGCAGTTTCACAATAATCTCTTTACAATAACTTATTCTTTGGCCATTAAATTGATAACTTTTTTCACAGTGAACCCAAAACCTCACACATGAAATGATTAAGCAGTATAAGAAATATTTTTTTCTGCTGTCAGTTACAATTAATATGATCACCATTTTTGTTGATTCACCAGTCACATAAGAAAAAGGAGTAGAAAACAAAGCTCATTCACCCGATTTATTCGAGCTATATAGTTTGAATGACGTCTCCCATTCGTATCACGCAAAATACATATCTAATAAAACCAAACTTTCCTGGAATTGTTAATAATAGAAATGGTTACAAAAAGTATAATAACTAAGTTATGGATAAACCGCCAATACCCCATGGCACCATTTTCAGGTTAATTCTCTTTCCTTCAGTAAGCCTGTCAGACTCAATGTGAACAAATTTAAGTAGCTTATTATATTTTGATGTTACAATGATTTCATTTTTGTTGAAAAGTGCAACATCCCAAGGATTGCCCTCAAATTTAAGTTGATCAAGTATCTTGAAGTTCTTGTCTAGAAGAACGACCTTTGAGTTTCCATGGTCACATAATATCAGGGAACCGTCTGGAAGGAACAGGGAACCAGTGATGTCACAAGTAGAGTCATTTCCCTCAACATTGATGGAATGATAGGATACACTTTTCTGTCTAAAATGTTCAAATGACATTTTGTGTGTTAGTGTTTCTGGAATAGTTGTTGCAGTTCTTTCATTTTTGTAGTGGTTCAACTTTTTTTCCCTTTTGATTCCAGCATTTTTTTCAATCAAAGTTTCACCAATCATTTTTGCATTTTCTACAGGTTTCAGCCAGCAGTTGTCGTTCTTGCCTTCTGCTGTGTTGTAATTTGTTTCCTTATTTGTAATACCAGGAATTTCATCTTTGCTCAACATATTTTCATGGTGGTCAGAATGTTTTTTGTCATTTTCATATGGACTTTGAGATGATTTTGTGTTCACTTTTTCTTCAATTGTCTTGACTATTTCTTTAACTTTTAACAATTTCTTCGCAACATCTTGTGATTGCTTTCCTTTTTGTACAGACGGAATGTTTTCCTTTAGTGCTGAATAATCTTCTGCAATCTTTTCTAGTTTACATCTTGCCGAAAAAATTGCAGCTGTGTCATTTGATTGTGAAACATTGTGGATACTTTCTTTTAAAGAAACTAAATGATTAATTGCATCAGTAAATATTTGAACTTCTCCTTTCAGTTTCTTTGCATATGTTTTACCTTTTACTTCATTTTCCTCAATTTCACCCGCCAATCTGTCAAAGACCAAATTCATTTCTTTCCTTATAGAATCTAGGTTATCTCTCTGGATTTTATAATAGGTTGCTGTGGAGTCAATATCTTCTATCCGTACTGCTTTAAGTTGTTCAAACTCTGTTTTTATGGCTTCCATTTTCCTGACAGCATTCTCAAATTTACCTTGATCTTCACTGACTGATATCAGTTCAACAATTGATTTATAGTCACAACTTGAATGTTTTCCCATTTTACATAAATTACAAAACACACACTTATGGTTCATGCAAAAGAACTGAACCTCATTCATTTGATGGTTGTCACAAAGTTTCAGTGCTAGTTTTGGTTGTGTTTCCTCTCTTGTTCTTGGCATAGAATCTCCTTGAAGAATGTAATGCTGTCGGAATGCTTGAAATTTCCTGTGAGACTTCAAACATTGTTGACATAGAAATTCATTACAGTCCTGACAAAATGCCCTTGCTTCTTCCTGTATGTCATCAAACTGGCATGGATCACAGTTCATTACTACTGAATCTTCAGATGCACAAAATTCATCATCATACATTTTGACAGTATTATAAACGGTTGATGAAAAACTACATTCAGCCACTGTTTAATCCAAGTTTAAACGTCAATATACATGATGTTTTATCTCCTGATATTTATTTGATATTTATCAAGTGATCAATAAAGTTATCTTACTGTAAAATCATTGATGTTTTTAGATTTTTACACAAGATTCATATAAATATGTAGTTTATATTTAAAATCACAAGTTTAAAACTTATTCAAAATATTGCTCATTTTCAAGGTCAGTTACTTGAATTTGTATTCAGTGCATTCGGTGTAAAATCTGTTATATCAAATTACTTTTTTGTTCATTTTCTAAAAGATAAACATTCACCATTCTGAATTTATTTCCCTAAACAAAGTTTGATTATATATGTTACTGTGCACATATAATTATTGAGGAAATCACAAATGTAGTACTTGTTAAATGTTAAAGTGTTGATTGTTCCAATTGCATTATTTTCTTAGTACCAACTTATCTTTCCTTAATGGTATAAATAAAATTGTTAAATATAAATGCTTGTCTGGGGTATAATTTCTAAACAGTAATTGATATCTTATTTAACCTTCACACAGTTATACATATAGAGAACAGTAAGAAAAAGTGCAATGTTAAAGATGCATATCCTTACATTTTTTTTTAAATCTTTTTAAATATCTTTCTTATTAAATCTTTACCTTTAGTTTTCCGGTTCCGGTTCGAAAAAAATGTTTTGAAATCCTCAGAAAGAAATATCAGTTTGTTCTGTTACATGGATTGTTAATTGCTGGTACAATTTGTGAAAGTGATAATAAAAGTATAAGGGAAATTTTATTTATTATTTTTCGGGGATTTTTTTCTTTTTAAAAGGTTTTTTTTTGAAAAAACTTTGAAATGGGGAATTTGTACCTTTTAAAAACCGGGGGGTTTGGGGGGTTATTTTTTTTCCGCAATTTTGGAAAAGGAAACTTTTTTTAAACGTACTTCTTTTTCGTTTTTTGGCAAAATCAAACTTTCCCATAAGATTTTTTCAGTGATTGTGAAAAAAAACGAAACGCCCAAAAAATTTTCCCCCCTTTTAAAACGCGAGGGGGAAAAACTTTTTCCGTTTTCGGGCTTTTTTTACCGTTAACCCCTTCCAAATTTAATTTACAATGATTGGGGAGGAAACTAGAAAAAAAGGGGCCCGCTTTTTCTCCCGTCATTTGGGGTAAAACCTGGGACTGAGGGGGAGTGAGGGGCCCAGACTTTTAAAAAGACAGTGGGAAAAAAGTACGTTTTTTTGGAAAAGGAAAAAAGGCCGGGGGGCCTTTATTCTGTTTAAAAAAGGGGGTTTAAAACAAGGAAAAAAAAGGGAAAAAAAGGAAAAAAATTTGAAGGGGAACTTCTTAAAGGGCCATTGGCGTAGAAAAAAATTTGACCCTTTTTAAAATGGGGGAAGGGTT